CTTTCCAGTCCAGAAGCTTGAAAACGTCTTCCAATGCAGCGGTGAAGAGTTTCGGGGATATAGCGTCACCCTGTCTTACACCTCTCTGCAATTGGATAGGTTTCGTACTCTGGTTCTGTACTCGGATAGCCAAGGTAGCCCTACTGTACAGCACTTCAACACTTCGATATACCGACAGTCAACTTGGCACCGCTGAAGGGACTGCAGCACCGCCCGAATTTCGACGGAATCAAAGGCTTTCTCATAGTCCACATACGCCAGACATAGTGGCAAATTGTACTCCTCGGACTTCTGTAAAATTTGCCGATGAGTATGTATGTGGTCTATGACGGAGGCTGGAAGTTGTCAAGTCTGCGCGCGAGACGATTTGTAATGACTCTCGAACACAGCACGTAGACGCGGCTCAGAAGGGAAATCGGTCTGTAGTTCTTCAAGAGAGCGTTGTCACCTTTCTTGAAGAACAAGACCACCGCACGTCTGCTCCTCACCTCCGGTGTAATGCCACCATGGAGGACGGAATTAAAGAGCTTCTGAAGAAATTCAGTACCGGTTTTCCACCCACTTTCAGAAGATCCGCTGTAATTCCATCCTCACCTGGGGCCTTGCCGTTTTTAAGGTGCTGGAGAGCCATTCTAATCTCGCTCAAACTGACGTCCGGGATATTATCGGAATAGTGTCGGATAAGACTCGACCTTGGATCGTTACTCACACTTGCGTGTGGCTCCAACGATGATGTGTACAGTTATAGAACCTCTCAATCTCACTCAAAATCTCAGGAGTCCCGGAAACGACGCTGCCACACTCGGTCTTCAGCTTCGACAGTTGGCTCTTTCTGGCAGACAGATCTCTAGCAAAGACTTTGGAGCCCTGGTTCCGCTCGATCGCTTCTTCAATACGAGCAGTATTAAAAATGCGTAAGTCCCGCCGAATGCATTTGGAGATTTGTTTGTTCAGTTGCCTGTATGCTGTCGAATCTACTGAAGACTGCAGCTTCAAATCCCGTCTAACAGCCGTGAGATTAAGAGTGTGATCGGAGTTTTTGTGTTCTTCTGCGGCGGGTTTTGCAAAACTTAGCTCCGACCGCATGGACAGTTTCCACGAGCCATTCATATCGTCCACTGCATTGCAATCTTCTAGGCACTGACGACAGTTTCGTAGCTCGAACTGAAAAGTTTCGGAACTTTGGATTAGAGCACGAGGGGGACGGCGCGTTGACTTAATTAGACGTGACCTCTCTAACTTAACGTTTAGGTTCAGTGTGCCTCTCACCATTCGGTGATCGCTGTCGGTTTTCACCCTCGCGATCACTGAGACATCACTGAACAGTTGTCGTCTGGTCGTCATAATGAAGTCAATCTTAGTATTTGTCGAACCGTCGGGGCTCGACCAGGTCCACTTCCTGTGGAGCCGCTTCTGGAAGAAAGAGTTCATCATAAAGAGTCCCTCTTTCTCCATGAAGTCGGCCAGCTGCTGGACCCTTGTGTTCCTTTGCCCTATTCCGAATTTCAGCTGACCGTTCTCTCTTGTGCCTAGTTTTGCGTTGGAGTCTCCCATTAACACCGTATAGTGGATTTTGGAGGAATGCATGGCTCTAGAGATACCCTTATACATTTCCTCCACCTTCTCATGGGGGTATGCCGAGGTTGGTGCGTAAACCTGTATGACCTTCAGCGAATACCGTTTGGTTATTCTGAGTATAAGGTACGCAACCCTCGTCGACACACTCCCAATCTTTACAACGTTGTTAACGAGACACTTGTGGACGATAAATCCGACACCTCCTTGGGACAGATGGTCGCCCTCCCGGTGATAGAACAAGTTGCCGGATTCGAGGATTACCGTGTCCTGCCCCTTTCTTCGGACCTCGGATAATTCTATGATATTCTAGCGCAACTTGTCTATCTCTTCTTTCAGCTCCAGGATCTTCTCGCCAGTCCTCCGGGTGCGTGCGTTATAAGTTGCCAGGTCGAGTCGTCGAAGGTGGAAACCGAACCTCCACCGGAGATTCTTAGCACTCCCTGCCCCACCGTTACCATGGTCGCCGCCGTAGCCAGGAATAGCGGGGCCGCCAGGGACTGGGGGCCGTCTCTTCGTTACTATCATGAGGAGTATATTGCCAGTTACCACGCTTGGCGAGCGGGTTGGCAACCGCAGTTTTTTATTGCTGTTTTGCTGTTATCAGAAAGATGCTGCTGCCCATCCTCTGCCTCATTTTCCCTCTGTCGCCTCTTACGACACCCACGGGAAGATATGGGGTAGTGAGTATTCTTACCCGCCACTACACGGGGATAATATGTATATATGAATTTGAATCTTGGTTACACACTATAATACAATTAAGTAAAAAACGAATTATCGTAATATCGTTGAAAGTGTTGTAAAGGGTCTGTATGGAAATAAAAGAAATATTTTGGTGAGACATTCATAATTTAATGTTTTTGATTATCTTGTCTTTACACAGGAATTTATATAAAACTAATTTATTTACATTTCTTACATATTTTAATTTTCAACCATTTTAAAACAACTCATAGAACAAAGACTAGCCTCATATTAATTTAAAAAAGATGGCGTTATTTGTAAGAAACCAATAAAAATACTAGAATCATTCAATATTTAGGTCATAATTCCTGGCTTCTGGGTAGGATTTATAAATGTGGCAGTATTTGGATCAAAGGACTTTTTATCATATTTTCAAATAAACTCCAATTTTTTCAGTTAAAATATAGCCTGGGTCACTCCTGGCATTACCTTGGTATCTGTCCGTGATCTTTCACTACAAAAACTTTCAGCCATAGCAAATATTAGCCCAGACAGACAGACAAAAAATTAAAATTAAAATGGTTATTTCATACCTTAATGTCATACAAATAACCCCCTAAGCTCAAAATAAGACAGTTAGTTCGATATTACAGACGTCTGTCTGTACTTAAATTTTACTTATAGGTATATAGATACATAACGCAAAAGTATTGTATAATATTTTATGTCACCAAGACACCTGCAATAGGCTGCAGATGCGGCGTTGTCACCTGTGAGGACTAAGATGGAATGCCTCACAGCCTGTAGATGTACTGGCTATCTATACACTTCAGACGGAAAATAGATAAAAGTGGTACCTACCTAGAGGAACTCATAGCCAGAATAGAACTAACATGACATGAGTGTCAAAAAGCAAATTAAATCTCATAAGGCAATAAAATACAGGCATATTGCTGGATTCATCTAAAATAGGCTTTACAAGTGTGTGAATAACCAGATTAATGGGACACTCACCAAATGCGCGCCTCTTTGGAAAAGGGGTCCGTTTCACGCCACAATTACCCGAGGAATATAGGGTGATACAACAATCATCATCATGCATCGCAGAAAATACCAGCAATCTCGTGGTTCTGTTACACGCCAGAGGACGAGAAACCAACCAAAGTGGGGATCCGAGGTCTTCCAGTGGACACTGAAACCGCTCAAATCGAAGAGGCACTGAAGAATAAGGGTTCCCAATCAAGTTTGTTAGGCGCATACCGCCGAGAACGGGACGCCCTGGATGTTCATATTACGGACAGCTAGAGTACTTAGATACGGTAGAGCTAAGCCGATTCTACGCAGTGAACAAGCTACTCTACGTGCTAGGCGTTACAATGGCAACGCAGAGCTGGACCGGCTCAATGTCATCGATGCCAAAGGTTCGGATACTCATCGGCTAACTGCTTTAGGCCGATGAAGTGTGTCCGATGCGCTGGAGAACATACAGCCACAAAATGTTCTAAACTAAGAGACGACTCTTTTAATGCGCCAATTGTGCAAAGGCGCATACAGCCAACGACCGAAAATGCCCTGTATTACTAAGGTTCGACAGGAAGCAGGGCATCGAGCTGCCTGGCCCACTACCGCCTGCCAAACGAACCAACCGAAAGAGGAACGGAAGTACGAAAGAAAAAGAAGCGCAACCGCAAACGAAAGAAAGCACAATAGCGGCATCGACACCAAATCTATGTGCAGAGCGGTTAGCAACCACCACCTAACTCAACCCAACTAACGCAAACTGAAGTCAAATGGCGACCAGCATTAGACGACGTACTTCGAAACCAACGCGCACATTACCCGAGAGACGTGCGCTATCAGACCATAGAGCTGCTCCCAGAGCCCGCTCTACCCAAAGAAGACAGCGGGCGCAGAAATCCAAACCCAGCGAGCAAGTCAGGAGCATTTGACAAGCACCATTCGCAATTCCAAGCACGTCCATACGCAGAGTAGCAGCGCAAGCAACAACAAAAGACGCTACCAAAACTCTAATCGACCCAATTACGCGCCGGCAGCCAAATACTGCAAGAGATAACGTGAGGTGCAGAAACAATTTCGACTGTAATGAGGGCCTTGATGAATCTACTGGCTGACCATTACATGCGATAAAGATGAATTAAGAATAATTTACTGGAACTCAGGCGGCATCAAACCTAGAGTAGCTCGGCTACTCAGGCGGTTGCAGGTTTTTTCATTATTATATTTTAAAATGATTGAAAGTATTTCCTATAATATACACATATAAATTACACTAAAATTATACAACTATTTTATCCTATAACTAAATATACTAAACAATAAACAAAAAGAATTATACAATTATTTACAAAAATCTATTTACGTAAACAGTGTTAAAAAAACTTTCAAATTCACTAGTACATCGCTCACCTAAAACGCACGAACCCTGACTGCATGATTGTAGTTGCATTAGTTGCATGATATATACATCACGCAGGTAGCAATAGTGACATAGGCCTGCTTCTAGTCAGATGATGTGATGAGGTAGGAACAAATACCTACATTTTGGTGTTATTAATATCTATTGACCCAAAATTGTAAATGAATAATTGTTCCATTCATACTTATTGAATGAAATTTTAACATTTACATATCTTACAAGAGTTCAGCTTACATAATATAAAGCCAAGTCTTTGTCGATATCAATTTAAAACTGGCTTTACATAGGAACTTTGTGTTTGTCAATCATTGTGCAACTTCATTGGATCTGTGAATTGTGCAGTTAATATATAAAATAATGCCGGAGCTGGAACTAATGATAAATACCACAATTCTTTAAAACCTGTAAGCGATAATATTCCATAGGCATGAACTAACCAATGCCCCAGTAGAATCACTAGGTTTCTTGAGTTTGAAATGGACGACATTAGTAACGCCGGAGCCGACTGGTCAATCTTGATTGAAAAGTGTGATGCTGACGTCATCATGGAAATTATTATAACTATGTAGGGGAAAGAACAATCTGTAATTAAAAAAAGACAAATTGTTATCATCTTGCCTGAGATCTAAGGAATATGGTTAAATACAAAGCATTACAAAGGTTCTTCAATCAGCAGCTTAAAAATATTAAAACATAATAATGATTATTTGTAAGGATAGCGACACAACTCGTGAGCACGAAACGATGGTCGACGGAAACATGATCGTGCATATAAACTTGTTCTTCTAACAGATGACCAACAGGCAAATCAAACAGAAGTATGCATGAGGTGATGACGCTCAAGCGAAGGACCCATCGCGTGAAGGAATATTCTCCATTATTGCCCCACGCCTACAATGCTTTTCTCCTTTTTTTCTTTTCGACCCATTGGGACTTTCTCCTGTATTGTGAAGGCAATTTACATACATAAATTGCACAAGAACAACCATCCAGACCCGAAACAATTATTTGTAGGCCGTTCAAATACTTGTTCCATGCGTGGTTCGTATTGCGGCCTTCGGCGTCGTAACTCATTGCTAAGCCACTGCGCCACGGAGCCATTCTGTGTAGTAGTAGTAGTAGGAGTCATTCTGTGTAAAGTGCTCTTGATTCTTGCCGGTACATCTAATGCCCTGACTACGTTGTAGTTGTGTCCGCCAGACCGAATTTCGTTTGTAGTGGTCAGTCTTAACAAAGTCTACCCACCTACACTGAACAGGATTATAGAGCATAAGTGTGAATACAAACTCAGGAATACTCTCATTTCCAAACCCTCTGTGATGAAACGGCAATTAAACGACTAGAGAGAGATCAGCCACTACTGAGTAAAAATTCTATAATTAATCACACTATCTGACCCTGAGAGTGTCATAAGAGTTGAACAATAAGAACAGATCTCATATTATTCCAGAATATAGTTGTGCTGCAACATCATAAGTTATTGCAATTAACACTTATCTAATTACAGTAATTACAAATGAAATGCAAAATTACACCAATTACGATGAGATAATTTATACTATGCTATATCTATTATATATGGCTTGAAAACAAAGTGCCAGAAAATATGCAGCGCCTATCTATCAAAAGAACCATTTTATTAAGCAAAAGTGTTTAAAACGGGTTATTATACTATTATAGAATAGATTTTACGTGGTAGAGCCATGCTGCAGCTATATTAATAGTATAGTTGTAGAACGAATGGGTCGGCTCGACTGGGGAAGGACCACGCTCTCACAGAATACCAGCGTAAAATAGCACCATAATGCTGCTGTGTTTCGTATGGTGAGTGTAGAGAACCGGAGACCTATTTTACTGGAAAAGAGGCATTCTGCGAGTATCTTAGTCCTCACAGCTGACAACGTATCTGCATTTTAATTCGCAAACGAAGACAGATGTAGATATCTATGGGCCGCAGCAACCACTTACCATCAGGTGGACTGTGTGCTCGTTTGCCACCCTTATTCTATAAAAAAAAAAGATGACTGATAATAACCTAATGAAGTGATTGTTTCTAACTGTACAACTAACATTGTAAATAAATACATAAAAAGTTTTTTTTTCTGATCCGGCGGTAAATAAGGGTGAAAAAGGAGCACATAGTCCACCTGATAGTTGCTGTGGCCCATAGACATCTACAACCAGCATCATCTTCCTGATAACCATTCAAAATGATAAAAAACTACTGTTTTTAACTGTTAAATGATAAAAAACAGCAGTTTTTTATCATTTTGAATGGTTATCAGGAGAAGATGCTGCCCATATTCAATTTCGGCACGGTGTACGACACCCAAAGGACGATACGGAGTAATGGATATTCTTACACTACCACTACAGGGCTGGTGTATTACTATACAACTGACTAATTTCTAAATTGCAAATTTAGAAATTAGTCAGTTGTATATTATATTATATATAAATATATAAAAAATGTTTAATTAAAATTCAATAATAAGTCATGATGACATCCCCTAACTAATTTCCAACCCAGATTCAAGTTCCATATCGAAGGAAAGAAAGAAGAAAATTATGATATGTTCAACACAACTGTGAAATGTTTTATTTTTTAAACCATGGCAAAATCTTTTGCATATCTTGATAACATCGATCACTAATAAAAACTAGATGCACCCATGCAAAAGTTCTCTAAAAACTGTCACCAATTGTATTGGCGTGATTCTAGTTGAAATAAATATACAATAATGTAAATTCAACCTTAAATGCATTGCATAAAGTTGTATTCACAAAAGATACGTACAAATTAAAATCGCATCCAAATTTTCGAGTGGTAAGGACATTCGGTAAGCACATTTTTTGTCGCTGATTGTGTATCTAGTTTTTTATTAGTGATTGAATGCTTGATAACAATGAAACAACGATAAAACGATGTGAAAGCTATATGAACTTACATATTACACCAGCTGCAACTGTATGTATTAGAACAAGAATAGGGTAGAAATATAAGGCACAGTAGATAGCTTTTTTCCCAGGATTTGGAGAATGCCAAGTTAATATCCATGGCCGTAGGAGAATTGTCAACAATAAGCTGAATGCATAAATAAGCAACACAATTGTGTACCTGAAAAATAGCAGTCATTTAACACATTGAAGAAAACTAATTTTACCGATTTGATCATGTTTAATTTAACAAATATTTTACTCCTTTTAAATCCCGACATTTTGGATCCTTCACAGTACTTATAGTGATTGAGGTGTTTGACATCTTGATATCGTAATTAACCAGGGCTACCCTCAGCTTTTTAATATAAATTTTTGGTTTAATATATGCAGAATGGTCCCACAATATCTTAAGTCTTGCAATGGTATTATCCAAAGTAGCTGTATCCAAGAAGTCTGCAATCTGTGCAGTTCAAGATCATACTCGCCATTACAATTGGTATGATATACCACAAATAGTTGTGAAAGAACACCGAATCCTACCACGGTTGATTTGCAAGGCTATTAATTAATATTTAAATTAAAAAACCAACAAATTTCAAAAAACAAAATGGCTATGTGCTACCAGCTGCTTGTGATGTAAGGATTAACAAAATTAAATCCAAACCCAAGCATACCAATGGAAGACTTCAAGATACTGTAAGCTTGTTGTGCCAAGATCAAACCAAATGAACTCCCAATGTTGTGGGACATCAAACACCTCAATCTCCCTCTTGACCATGTGCTTAACAGCACCCAAATCATCAGGAATAAAAATAAGTACAATACAAGTTAAATTAAGTGTGATATAATCTGTAAAATTTGCTTTGTTCAATGTTGATTTAAATATAAGAAATCATTAAATTAACACATAATTATATTTTTCATGCACCAATTGAGATTTTTTATATAAATTTAACTTTAATTGACAGCTCTGGGCTAAGTGCTCACTGAACAAATCACAGTATGCTTGGAACCAGGGTTCAATCTCTGCCAAAACTAATTGAATTGTACATTGCAATTTTAAATTCTAATTTACCATAGTGAGAGCCCTGTGGTGTAAAAGAACATCCACAGGAAACCTGCATGTCTATGGAATAAAATATTTCGAAGACAGGTAAAACAGACTTCTGCAAAAATACACTGGACCAATGCAGTGTACTAATTCTCCATAAAAAGTTAAGTTAGTTAAAGTTACAGCCTATATATGTCCCACTGCTGGGCACAGGCCTCCTCTCATTTCTGAGGTTTTAGGGCAAGGAAATGTCAGCCGCGCTGCACCACTGACGCATTAGTTACAGTTTTATTATTTGATCAGCGACCCGACCACAGCTTCGCAGTTATCAATATTTTCGCGTATATTACCAATGACCTTAAAAATACGTTCAGTGAAAGTAGACCTCCCCAGTACCAGTGACTGCCTACTAATGCACTTGGTCAATAAAAGAGATTGAAAATGCCGTCGCGTATCACATGTTTTTAAATAACATAAAAATGTGAAACAGACAAGTGACGGCTCCGTCGCGCAGTGGCTTTGCAATGAGTTGCAGCGCTAAGGGCCGCGGGTTGGAATCCCGCACGGAACAAGTATTTGTATGGCCTAAAATAATTGTTCTGGGTCTGGATGTTTGTCCTTGTGAAATCTATATAATATGTAAACTGCCCCTGCGATACAGGAGAAAATCCTAGTGTGGAGGTAACATTGTTTAAAAAGATAGGAAAGGAGACAAGTAATGAGATAAAAAATTGTACAACCGACTTCAATATTAATATGCATTATAATACGCATTATTAAGGATAACTCAAAAACTACTGGTCAGATCTTGATCAAATTTATATGGGATATATAAATTATAAGCACAAGCTTTCAAATAAAAAAAGAATCATCAAAATCGGTTCAGCTATGAAAAAGTTTTGAAGTAACACACATAAAAAAATACAGTTGAATTGAGTACCTTCCTTTTTATGAAGTCGGTTAAAAATGGTAAGTAGGTAAATTATCTGAGTTTCAAAGACGTCCACGTTGTTATAATTTTAAGTTTTCTCAATGTTGCATATTAACCTTCCTCACATTGAACAATAATGTTCCCTCGGTGTATTACACTACCAACTAATATCAAAGGGTTCACTTTGTTTTATCACAATACCTAACCCTACAGTAGAAGCGACCTTAACAAAGGCGCGTTACGGGCTAAATAATACCGACTTTCGCACGCGGACGTAAGGTGCATTTTGATTAAATATGCGCACCGCATAAAATTTTTTTCTACAATATAATCGGTAAGCTAATTTGACGAAGGTCGTGTTCGAGGCGTACAACGTATTATGAACACTAGGGACGTTGTAACTATGCTTAATCTTGCAAGTTTGCTATCAGGGAGTGACCCTTCTGTTCTTGTACTATTATTTATTCTGTGCCAAAACTCAAAACCAGCTTAACCAATTGTGATAAAAAATTGTGTGCGTTTGAGTGAGTCCCTGGATGGTTTATCTTCAAAATAGGACCTACTAGGTGGCGTTGTTCTAAAGATCCAGAAATCATAAAAAAATCAAGCCGGGGTGGTTCGCTAGTGTTATAATAAATGTTACAACTTTAGTGTGCAAATACACTTTTAGTTCTAAAATTATTTAATATCACAATAGCACACCTATTCTTCTAATCCACTGTGTCATGAATGTTGTATTACACCATATAAGAGATAAGGCCTCTTAATGTAAGGAATAAGTACATATACATTTTTAATTTACTTACAAGGGATAAACAGCTTCTTGTGTACAATGCAATGTTTCTTTATAATCTGGTTGTGGATTATGAAGAAGTGTATACCAATCAGACAGAGCCTTAGGCATACAAACATATAAAGCAATTGATCCAGTCGGAGGCAGAACAAGTAATGCTGCAATTGTTCCTGTGACAACCTCTGTGAAAGCACAAATGTGTTGTGCAATTATCCCTGTTTTACTGCAAAATGTTTTTAATCATTAACTAACATTATCATTTTATATAATATATAATGTCAAGGGGGGAAATAAATGAATAAAACAACTATGAAGCAAATGTGAAGTATCTCTGTACCCTAAAGGCATTTTATCAAATGAACTATATACTGTATACTTACTACCTACACTCACATTAATATATTAAATATCATAATATGTATTATGTGTATATATTGTATAAGTTATGTCCCATTGCTTTAAAGAAATCAGCTACAATTTATGGACTATTGGAGATTGGAGACAGCAATACTCGGTGTCTAAAATGTATCTCGCACTAAACAAGACAATGAGAACAAAATTCCAAAATAAAAGAGACGATGTAGTAATATAACATATTAAGTTGATATGGGCTAAGTGATGGTAGTAACTGCCTTGTGGAAAAGATAGCAAAAGACCGGTTAGCACAGCATACATTGAAGGTGGGGGGTTGGGTTTAGAATCAAGTCGCCTGACTTGTGGAGTCTGTCACTGTGGAGGGATCAAGAGGACTTATCTCAAGCCCCCATGCAAGTTGACATTGACAGTGACAGATATACTCAACTTCGTGACTCGTGTCATAAGCTTCATTCCATTTTAAAAAAAGATAATTGCAATAATCCAGAGAAATTTGGTGATGCGATAATAGAGTACTTGTGGAGGTGAAATATTATGAAATATAATAAAGATCCATTTTTGGAAATGGTGAAAGTAATTAAGTATGTTTACTTATTAAAGTAATTATAAAAGCTAACATTCTGGTGTTATATTTGGTGCAAGAGCGAGCGAAGCGAACTCCAGACTTGGGCACCAAGACTCAGACAGGTTATGTTAGAAGGGGATGCCAGGGTCGAGTGAGCGAGCGAACAGATCCCTCCATTCCCTTTTGTGGTTAGTTTTTTATAAGATATCCAGAAATAGGAGTTCCGCTTAGCGGGAAAAAAAGTGGGAGGCGAATTTACCCCCTCCCCCACCCCTGCCCCTCTATTAAGGCAACTTGATTCTAAATCTTAACCAAGGTGGGCTAAATAAGCTGTTAAAAATTAATAAACATTTGTTTTACCTTTTACCAACAGCGACCATATCAATAAAGAACCAGTGCAAAACCAAGGGTAAAATAACCATAAAGCCTAGATATTGCCAGTCGTAAAGAGAAGGTTCATCAGTACATGGTGTGCAGTAACTCGAGGTATTGGTGCGGTACCCGCGAGGACAAGCACCACATTCACTCCATGAACCATCGTCTAATTCAGTACGGCCGCAATACAGACCAGGGCAAGTTCTTACGACAGACATTTCTTTTTACAGCTCTAATCTTCTTTAATTACAATTTATTATTTATAATAAATAAACATAACAAACGACCAACAACAATAATCAATGTTTACACGGCAGAGTTTGACATATTTTACTTTGACTTTGACATTGACTTATGGACCAGTGTTGCCAACAGATTGGAACCTGATATCGCCATTTTCACAGATTTAGTAGCCTAATATAGCCGAATTTGAGCTGAGGTAGCCTAAAGTAGCCCAAACATCAAAACTTCACTATGAATAAATAAAAACGTAATTTTTAACAATTTCTGTCTGCTGGTTGAGAGGCACACGTGACTTGGTGTTAAATGTTCAATTTTTTCCACCACTGACACATTAAGTGGTAGTCTGTAAATTAATTCCTTCACCAAGCGCACGAGAACATGCACGCACAGGACTCTTGGAGAAATTTTGCAAATAACAGACAAATTAAATACATAGTTGGTATAATACTATTAATAACAAATGTTATTAACAGACATAACAAATGTTATTAACAGACATAACAAATGTTATTAACAGACATAACAAATGTTATTAACATGAGAACTAACTATCAGACGCGTCTGTTGTCCGCGGCTGACAGACGCGGCTTATTGAAATCTAGACAGTACATCTGTGCAAACTATCGGTCGTAAGACGCGGACGTGACCTTGCATCGCTCTTGAGCGTTCAGAGTTCAGACGTCCGAACAGAATCTAGCCGGTTGGATATTTGTGCGTCCGTGGATGGTGTGAACAGGGCACGGGACGCGTCCGCGGACGTTTCGAGTGTCACAAACGAACGAACCGCGTTCGCGACATGTCTGATAAAGAAAATTTAATTGAATGTGTTGTTTAAAGAACCACAAACTGCAGCACTTTAAAAATGCTACATTAAAACAAGAAGTGTGGGAGCTAATTGCTGCTGAATTAAACACCGAAACTGTGTCATTTGTTTTTCGATATCATTTTTAATCAGATTAAGCAGAAAATTAAATTGATCTTCATTCATTCTTAAGTACATTTTGTAACGTTTATAATCTTTTTGTAAGTCTGGATACATTGTATGAAATTCACAATACTTCAGTCGTTTTATATTAATATCATGGACCCAAACACGCTTTTCACTTTTTTTTTTGGAGGACAACATAAGGCCGCTGCCGCTAACTCTATAAATTCGTCCTCGCTGTCGCTGCTTGTCATGATTATCGATTTACAAACCTTTATGAAATGACTGATATATATAGAGATACACTGCTAAGCCGCGTCTGTCAGCCGCGGCTGACGGACGCGTCCGATAGTTTGTTCTCAGCATGAGAGTGAGCCTTAGTTTTGGGGTATTCCCCGAAATTAACAGTGATGCCAGTTTTTTTTATTTTGATTTGTACATTTTGCGTATGAGGTATTATTTTACGCTTACATTAACTTCTGTTGTGATTCCGTCTAATTGAGTCGATAGTTCGTCTCTCAAGTAGCCTATTTGGCGACGAGTCGCCTTTCAGAATTTTTCGTAGCCGTTTTCCATCCCGAGTAGCCTAATTGGCGAAAAATCGCCTACGTTGGCAACACTGTTATGGACTGTAGAGAGAAGGAGGACCATCTCTATATACTGGTATATAGTGTATTATCTATGTCTATATACCTATGAAAAGTGTCTCTAAAAACGTGTCCAATAAGGGTGGCGCTGCAGTAGCATAGGATAATTTAAAAAAAAAAAGCGCCAAAAGTAATGAGAATAAGATGGAGAAATAAACAAGGACCAACCAATCCGCTTGGTTTTGTACTACGTAAATAGTTGAGATTTTGTATACTGGCATTTTACTAATTACTCTAATCATGGAATTTTTTAAATATTTGAATTCAGCTGACTACATTGACTGTATGGAGTGTAGAGTACAAGGCGAACCATCTTATAAGGAGCGAAAGTTGAAAGAGTGTCCTACTATTTACTGAAAATAGAGGTTCCAAAACCTACCACAATAGCGTTGGCGTCTGAAAAACAACGATATGAAGATAGCTGTTTTGAACGGAGTGAAGTAAGATGAATTCAAATATTTAAAAAAAAAATTCATGATTAGAGTAGTTAGTAAAATGCCAGTATACAAAATCTCAACAATTTACGTAGTACAAAACCAAGCGGATTGGTAGGTCCTTGTTTATTTCTCCATCTTATTCTAATTACTTTTGCCGCTTTTTTTATTTATCCTATGAACAAGTTTTTAGGGACACTTTTTTATTTTTATTAATTGTGGAATTGGCTACCAAGTTTTCAGCCAAAACAATATTTACAAACGCTGTATTTAATTACGGGCAGCTTTGCCAACTCTACGGATTTTTCCGTAGATCTTCGCAATTTTGTCATCATCTACAGAATTTGAGGTTGAAATCTACGGAATTTTTAAAAACATTTTTTATCATGACTGTGAACTTAGCCGACAATTTCATTCTCTCTCTCTCTTCTTGTATGCTGTCTGTATTAAAACATTTTCGCTTATAAATATCCAATTTTTTGGTAAGGTTAGTCGATTTGAAATTTTAATATCGTAGATATTTTGCATTCAATTACGTTTATTTCGAATTTTGAACACTTCTTGGAAAATAGGCAGTAAATATAAACTTTTATAAAACTTTCATTGATGATTGAATTGTCATTTATGTCTCAAAATGTTGTAATCCATGTCCCATTTGTTTTCACAATTATTAAAAAATTTCTGCCATATAAATCTTTTCCTGGATCTTTTTTTTCGAAAATCTCAAAAGTTGTCAGTTGTATCGTTTTTCACTGTTACATAAATTACCCAATTCTGAAATACCGTAATAAAGTAACAGAAACCAGAAAAAAATTATCTACGTTAATTTTAGTGAAGATGGTCCGTTGTTTTTCATTCGTCTAATTATAGCTTCAAAATTTTTCAGCATCAATTTTGTTACTGTAGTGTGGGTGTTTTACGATTTCCGTAGGGTTCTTCGGCGTAAACAGTGAATCTTCGTGTCATACACTAAATAATATCACCACACAGTTTATTGCGACATATTTATTATAACTTTTACAACTCGTTATTCACTAGTTAACAGTAAATATTAATATTATATCTTATGGCTCCAGTACACGTTGGCCGAGCGCGCTCGCCGAGTGCACTCGGCCAACGTGTACTGGGCCGTTTTGTATATATTTGGCGTTTGCGGCCAACGCTCGCCGACGAGCCGTATAGTGTCGGTTTTCCGTGCACAAATCAAAGGAATTTGGCGCAAGCCGCAAACAGTGTTCACACGTTGGCCGAGTGTTCAGTAGTCTTGGGCATAGTCGGTCGCCGTTGGGAGCGCTCAATTTAGTTCGTTGTCCTATAGCGAACTAGTTCGCTCATTTAGTTCGATAGTTCTTTTTTAATTTTTCAGTACATCTAATAAAAAAAGATGAATTTATTGAATGTCAGTAAATAAAAATTAATTGAATCTACTTTAAAAAAATATTAATAGTTTAATTAGTATGTAATATACTACATAATATATAATATATGCAAGATACTTATCAAGAACTACCTATTTGATGATATGGAAATTAAAATAAAATATGATAAAATTCCACAATAAATTGGCTGTGGTAGAGCCACGTGGCAGATTTTGCTGTCGCACGGATGGGCCGGCTCGACCGGGGTGGTACCACGACCTCACAGAATACCAGCGTGAAGTAGAGGTTTACCTCTGCGTTTTGCTTGGTGAGTGCAGGTGGCCGGAGGCCCTTTTTACTGGAAATGAGGCATTCCATCTTAGTCCTCACGGGTGACAACGCATCTGCATTTTGTTTCGCAAACGAGGATAGATGTAGATGTCTATGGGCCGCAGTAACCACTTACCATCAGGTGGACTGTGTGCCCGTTTGTCACCCTTATCCTATATAAAAAAAAAAAATGTCATGACAGGTTCAGACACGTACATGACAGGCAGATGACTATTTACGTAATATTGAAATTAATAAACAAGTTTTCTTACGTCGTTAAAACGAATTGTAGTTCCACCTAACCTGTATATAACAAAGCTCATTATAACGAATTACTTGGGAAAATAACGAATACTTTCTAATTCCATTCAGTTTCGTTATATTGAGGTTTCATTTTGAATTTTACTTCGAATAAACTTGTTGTCGAAAAAACTACACATATTTTAATTTGAATAAACTTACCGTAAAATCGAATTGAGAACTATGCGGTATTTATGTACTGTTTACTATCACTTTCATATTAATATTGTGAGCCAGCAATATTTGTTATTTGTTGTGAATTGTGCACTAATAAAACTTTTATTAGAGACTCTAAATTATATACTTTAAACTCTGGTGAGAACGGTAACAGTAAAAATAAATCAGTCGCCAGAAAAATAAATATTTAAAGAACTAAGAGCGAGATTGCCGACGAACTAGTTCGCATAGTTCACCTAAAAGAGCGCTCTTCCCACCTAGGTCGTTCGCGAACTACCCAAGACTAGTGTTCAGTTCATAGTTACGCGTCGGAGTAGACTGTAGTGTCGGCTTGATAAAATTGTTTCAACATGGCGACATGGACTAATGAGGAAATATTTATTTATTTATTTAACAGTTTATGTACACACATAATTCGATAGGTAAATGGTAAAAACATAATTATGTACAAAGGCACTGCCTATTCCATGATGAAATTTCTTCCAGCAGGCCTATTGAAGAATAGTTGAAGGAAATAGAGGTAGTCAAAGTGTGCACTTACATAAATATACATATACAATACAAATATATACATATACATACACACACACACATATATATACGCATGTATATATATAAATAAATATCATATATTATGAAAAAATATATAATTCAATATAATATATTTTTAATGTTACTTATATGCATACCAACACATTACGATTTAATAATTATGGAGTAAATATTGATTCATTGTTCATTGATTGATCCTCACAATGAATCAGTAATATGTAACCCCAAACATGAGCAACATAAAAATAAAAC